CTCTTCTCTCTCTCTCTCTCTCTCTCTCTCTCTCTCTCTCTTTTCTCAGGCACGCTTGCGCTCACTCGTACACTTCTATCGTCATCTCATATGCTCCTCACCACACGCACACTCTCGCTAAATATTCTAGAGATTTCCATGCACCCATTCGTATTTCAATACGATACACGAAGGAAAAGAGTGACTGACTTTTTTTTGGCAATTCTGATTGCCAACACCCCATCATGCTCGGCGCTACTCAACACAGTCGGCGTGTTTTATTGCGCAACAAGGAATATTAAAACGAAATTCAGTCAGTGGAAATTTTGAAACAACACTAGAGATGATTTATATCACAAAAACATGTTTTCTACCAGGAATATTACAAACACAAGTTCATTTAAGAAATGTTGTATCAAGAATTAAATTCGACGTGTAAGCTCGGCGAGTTCAACTTACGATGCATCTCGAAAAAAGACTTTACGTCGCGCAATAACGTCGCGTTTGATTTATTTCACAGATAAGCACAAAGTTCAACATCTAAATGTAAATTCAACGAAGTTATATCAGTATTAATTTTTGCTCTGTACACGTGCAAGAGCAGTTGCCAAAGTGTCTCGGTGTCGGTCCTACTCATCATTTCGCATCCTTCGTAACATCCCTTATCTTCCAGTTACAGCAATAATTTTATGCAGTATTCTTGTTTTTGGCAGTAATATCGAATGTGAATTTATATTAAATGACAAGTCTTCTAAATAAGCAGATTGATTTTTTTCTTGAAAATGATGATGTGCGCTGTGGCAGGAAGCAAATGATTTATATATTATTTCCTCTTTCCTCAAAGTTAAAAGTTTTTGAACTTAATGGATTTAATGGAGATCTACATGGTACAGTGCCATTAAGAATTATTATTATCGATTAGATGAAAAAAAATATACGGTTAAGATAATTCTTGATTGATTTATGATATCCGTAATGATAATATGCCATGTATATCCTTGGATTTGTTTTATGCGAGTTAACAACATGCAGAGAATGAGAAACATTTGCATTTGCATTTCCGATAAATTACTGTATCCGAATGGAGGGACGACGGATGCTGCAATAATACATTGGAGGATCCGTACAGCGCGTAGATTGAATTAAGCAAACGTACAGGCGCGATCTGCGCGACGTAAGGATCATCTCTCAGTTTATATCGATAATAGAAAGTTACACAGTAAGATAGAGTAATAAGAAAACGGCTACTTAAAAATCCATGTACATAGAGTATTTATAATAGAGCGGCCGCGCCACTCGGAAATTTTATCTTTCTCTCCCTCCACCTACAAGATGGAAATCTAGCGGAATACAAGAATAGTCAATATTCTTCTCTCCTCAACTAGAGACGAGCGAGATCCGAAGATAAACCGCGCGACACTTGATGCGTGCCTTTGAATGCATGTAAATCACATGTGTGTTCGTTTGGCATTTTCATATGGCGTTGCTCAGTGGCTCAAAATGGTGGATCAGCAGTCCGACGTGAAGATGAAAAAAATACCTCACGCCGAAAAACGATACGCTGAATTGGCAGCATTAACAATTTGTGCTAGATAATTTGATCGATAGATATACGCAGTTCTTCGCGCCGCGCAGTCTTTACGTATTGTTAAATAAAGGGGATTTTTTTTCGTCTCGTCCTCTTTTCGACTCCCGCTCGAGCGAATTTTTTTATTCTATTCGTTACTCTGACTAACGGGAGACGTAAGACATACAAGTATTTCAATATCCATATTCAGTAGATGAAAATGGATGTCGGAGTGAGCCACACTGTACGTACATCCGAGCGTCATTTGTTTTGAAAGGGAGAAGCAGCGAGACTTGAACATTCTCTAAAGTCCGCATTCAATTCGGTACGATGTTTCTTCCGCAGTGCGGAGACACATGAGTATTAATTCTTAAGCGATGCTAAACGAAACGGAGAATTCGCGTCGCGTTTACGTCGATTACACGTTAGTTGCACCCCATAGAAGGAGGAAATGTCGCGAGAGGATCATTGGCCTATTTCAGTCTGTATTAAACTTGGTCTTGGTGTTCGCACAATCCGTGGCACGCTCGGGAATAGATGCGTGGTATTACACGTAGTCCCTCTTACATCCGGATTTCTCTTTCTTCTTGAGCGTTCGTTTGTAGCTGCGCGTGAGGCTGTGCGTCGCCACACTGTTTAGCGCTGCTTTTGTGCATGCCACGGCACTTGTTTCCTAATTTCTATCCCTGAAACAGACATAGAGATCCTTTCTTTCTTATGAAATTTATGATTACTAAAAATAAATGATTTCGGCTGTTTATCTTAACACATTAAGTAGATGGCTTTTGAGAAAGTATTGCCGACACGTAAAGATATATCGATACTTACCCTGGCCCAGGATAGTAATAGGGCGGTGGTCGCTCATATTCGGTACTTAGAGGAGGCGGAGCCCCGGCAGCTGGTTGATACCTTGGCGGACCACCGTTGGGGAAGTCCCAATTTCTGCAATAACAGCATACGTAATCAGTGAGGGAAACTTAATTGCTTAACGCTCGAGTTACTTCGGTCGTAAGTTTATAGCATTTTGCACTTCCTAGCGTTTTACTGATCGGTTCAACCCTTTCTGCTACCTGCTCGCCAGCTACCGCAGACATCATATGGAAGTCTCATGCTGCGAGTTTGATAGTGAAAGAGCTAAACGCTCATTTATCGTGTCCTTGCCACAGTAAAATGCCTTAGCGAACTAATATACGATACAGCAGCCGCCCAAGCGAAATGAAAGTAATATCCGACTGAAACATCTCGATTACAATTGCAAAGTATATTCCCATCAAGGTAGACATGCTTCGTAAGACGCGGGAAGTTGTAAAGTACCTTCAAGCGAAATTAACATCGCACAAGAGACGTTTCTCGAGACGGTAGTTCATCTAATGACCGTTCTTATTGAAGCTACTTAATTCCAGTCAATGACAAGAGAACATCTCCACAGAGTGGAGCGGAGACTGAACCATCATCCGGACGCGTTTCAGGTCGTTTCTTGCGGGAAAGCCTGGTTCTCTTGCAAAGCTGTTCGTGACATGTCGAAAAGAAAAGAAAAGAAAAAAAGGGAAAAAAAAATGAAAAATAAGTAAGAAACAAGAAAGAAAAAGAAATAGATCGAACGAGCACGAACGCAGAAAGAGAAACGCAGAAACATTTGTGTAACAATAGTCTTTGCGACTTACGTGCAGAGGCGTATCGAGAGACGCGAGAGGCCGAGCCCCCCGCAGGGTTCCCACTCACCTGGAAAGAACCGGGAGAAAAATCGTGACCATCGGGGTTGCATGAAATGCGTCAAACATGGTGCTACAAGTCAACAGTCAAACCGCAGAAACGCCTCAGGCATGAGATCACGGAGAGCCGGGGCGGCCGACGCCGTAACGTTCCGCGTATCTCCCGGGGAATAGAGCCGCAAATGAGAGATCGTGCGTGATGAGATCTGCTCTCTCCCCCGAGACTGATGCGGAACGACGTCGGCCGTCCAAGATCTAAGCTACGAAAATAACATGAGAACACTCGATGAGTGGGAACCCTGCTCGTGCCGGGCGAGAGAATCACGAGATCATACTGACCGCCAGATAAGTGTCGGTATACTCAAACAAGGTGAAAGCGGTTACGTTTCACAGGAAGCTGTTTTTATTATGCTTATCGGCGCCGTTAAGGGACTTACTGCGACTCTAGTGATACGCTAAAGACTTTACTGTGAGGTTCTGTTTTTGAAGGGGCGATATGTTCGTGGTTTCGCCACGATAGGGTGAAACTGTAAAGAAATAAGACGTGACCGATGAAACGGCGAGAGACAATGAGAGAGAAAGAGGAAGAGGAAGAAAGAGAGAGAAAGAGAGGATGAAAGGGATGAAAGGACGTAACGTCGCTACGATGCCACGTTAAACGCGTGTAACGCGTTGATAACGTAACATTCTCAGCGTTACGTCTTGATGGAGATGCATACGATATCGGTGACTGCGAGGATAGCTCATTTCCTGGGATTAATGATCGGTAATAACGCCTTCGAAGGGCGAAACAGCTCCACTTACTTGGGCGCTAGGTCGGAATATCTTGAATCATGATGCGACGTGCTCTGATGGGCGTCGGAGATCCTTTCCCGGTCGCCGTATCCCATCGCCGGACCATCATAGCTCTCGACGTACGCCGCGGGATGATGCCTACCGTGGGAGACGTGCTTCTTGTCGTGGACGCTGCAATCAAGACATTTCCTTAAAATATCGTCCATTCGGATGGATCCGCGAGCGCTCATCATGCGAGTTAGAAACCGGGGTGTCGTACGCTATAAAAAGCCGCGATGTCTGTTAAGAATCTCCGGTTCAGCATTTCCCAATTTGTTCTAAAAAAAGGTCTTTTGAAATCCGGAGTGTCGTACGACTTTTGTTCGCGTTCCTTCATACTCTTCACGGACAGTTTTTGAATAAAGACAGTTTTTCCTTTGGGAAACGCTTCTCTGGATAGTGCGAATTAACACCGGAACTGCGCGCGAGCTCGCAGAATGATGAATTGCGCTTCGATGCTCAGCAGATTGCAGTGTCATCGTTAATTGTTATTTTGTACGATAGACATACAATGTGAATCAGATGCGATGGAATTAAATTGAAGCGAAATAAAGCGAATAAAACGTATTGAATCAGATCATGAATTTATGACTGACTCGTTTCAATTTACTTGCTTCGATTTACTTTGCCAATTGCGGATTTGAGTCTCGTACTGAGCATCTAATCACTGTGCAAACTCGATATCAGTCCCAGTTAAAGAACACTTCCCAGATGAGATTATGACCGGTGCCGTACACTTAATCTAAAAGCCGTAATCTATCCGCATACATATGTTTCTCCTAGCGAAGCTCCTAAGCAGAAAATATCAATATTGTATTAGCAATAAGGAGTGGTAGATCAAGCAAAAAATAAATCCCAGAATGTTTAACAAAATTCGACACGCAACGTATCATACTATAAACGTATAGCAGAAAGAGTTAAAAATCATAAGGGAGATGCATGTCACATGCAGTCATATAAAAATTAAGATATTAACAAAAACTGTTCACTGATAATGATATCTAGAATGCTAAATAGATTCCTCATTGTTTTTATTTCCTTAAATAAGCATACACAGATGACATACTACAAAACTTAATTCACGCCTGAAACTAGTCATTCTAATGTTACATCATTAATTAATATTTACTGGAATTCCATTCAATAAATAAAAATTTAATTACATGACATTTAAAGAAAAAAAAAACAAAAAATATATTTAAACAATGAAGTATCCATTTATGTATGTCACTCAAGTGTTTGCGTGTAAAAACAATTACATCGAAGTTACTGTCTCTTCGGGTGCACAGTGACCCATTTTCTTTGTTCTCTGGAGAATACAAGAGAGAAGAGAGAAGAAAAATAACGTGTTTCAAATAATGAAACTTGATTATCAGAAAGCGGACCACTGTGCGATCTACAGTGAAAAATTGGATACGGAAAACATCGTGTCGCTTATTCTAAGCAACTTGTATAGAGTTCTGACAACGAGTTTTGTATTTAATAACATGCGTTACATCTCGGAATATGTGGGACATGCGAGCACACTTTGGCTTTGTCGTGGTATATACTTACTGGGCAAGGGGTATGTTATCCCTGTCTGCGTACGCGTCATACAAATATTCACTGTAACGGAGCGTGTTAGCGGTTAGATTCCAACAACCATTCCACACATTAGACAGCTACTTTAAACATAATCTAGACTACCGCGATGGACCGCGACCGATCGATCTGAGTGATTTTCCGTAATGTCTCGTTCTGGCCCGTTATCTCGCGCGGTCAGCAAGAAAGTCGCGCGCCCGCGAGATGAGGGACTTTTTGCGAACATTGAAATAGCACGAATAACTTAATTGATACGATACTTTTGGTGATATAAAATCATCTTCATTGACCGTAAATAACAATCGTTATAATTAATACACTAGGTAAAAGAATTCAAATTAGACAATTACGTATCGTGGACAATTATCTTTGAACAGACAAGTAAATTTTCGAGTTCGAGGGAACAATTTCGAACCAGGAAATTTCATCAGAATTTCCGGGCTCGAGGGATCTTTTTATAAACGAAAAACAAGGACATGCCGATATCAAAGATGTTACAAAGCGCGAATGAGTACATGCTATGATATATGGAAGCTCGAGAATGACTACGAGACGGAAATAAAAGATTCAACAGTTTCTACATGAGAAGTGCTCAGGGATTTGTCGTACGTTGAGGCTCGCAGAAAAAAGAAAGAAAAAAAAAGCTTTATCGCCTCCGAAGTTTAACGTATAATGCGTCTTATTATTTCTTATATTTTTCTTCGTATTCGTAATCAACATTTGAGGCGTTAATCAACGGTTCAGTGAATAAACTCGTGCTTGATGCACGATCTCGATTGATAATGGATCTATCAAAGACACTGCATTAGTATCTCAAATATCGTCATGCACCACAGATTGGATGAGGAGTCAAAAACAATTAAAGATATGTCTTTTAGATCGCAGATCGCGAATCGTTGTATCTATATAGGAAGAGAGTAGAAACTTACGCTTCGACAAGAGGCCCCGGATAAGGATCTGACTTTTGGTACAAAGCGCTCAGCTTCACGCAGAGCACTATCGTTGGTATGAATAGGATCAAGCACCAACCGACGCTCGCCCAGAAGCCGTTCTACATATAAATGCAAATAGAATCATGAATATTAATCCTCAGCTCAGAGGGCCGCTTAATTTTGCAAGGCGTTGCTTGCACAATACTTTAGTTATCGCCCGGCGCGACAAATTCGCTTATCAATTGAAACTTCTAAAGCAATTGCGAAATTTAATGGAATTTAGAGAAAGTCTATAACAGACATGTCTGGATTTACGAATTTATACATATAATAAAATGAATATAATACTCACGAATGGATCCAAGATCTTATTGCATCCTGCTACGAGCGTTGCGTTATAAGCATTCGAGACGGGAGCACACCTTCCAATCTTGAAGATTGCTGATTCGATAACGTGCTCAAGGAATTTGTCCACTTGATGCAAAAATGCGTTACCAAATTTAGTGGCGAGCTATCAAAATAGTATAACATTATTATATCTTAATATAACATTAACATATTAATTATAGAACTGTATAATTATATATAATAAAAATTTGAAGAAAGAAATATATATATAATTTTGAAATATATATAGCCTTAATATATTTAGAAAATAATCTTTAGTAAAAAATGAGACGTACGTATTGAACGTATTCCGGCCCATCCTTATTTAAGAACTGCTGCGCCTTGGTAACTTCATCCACTAAATCATGAATAGCGTCTGCCATCGAGGTATGATTGAACTTAATGTTTTCTTGAAGCGTTAGCGCGTTCGCGCTCAATTGCTCGCTAAGCATGGCCATGGGCATAACCAAGTCTCTGTGATAATGTTCCAAGTCGTGCGCATTTTTCTCGAGACTAAGCCTGATTTCCTCCTGTCCCTCCGGCAATTTGGCGGAAACCTCCCGTAACTGTTTGGCAAGATGTTCCAAGTTAATATTCGTGATGTTCTCGGCGAGCAGTTCGGCGTACTGATAGAACTTGATGTCACTGAGACCGCTTTGTGCCAGATCATTCAACTTGGATCTCGCGCTGTCTTTCAGGATCACTACGCCGGGAGAGAGACTGATCTTACGGCGCAGCTGTTGGATGGTGTCATTGATGTCGTAACGGCCACCGTAATCGCGCAAGCTCTCAACGTCGAACACATTTTTCAGATTCAGCACGTTGTAAAGCGTCTCGTTCTGATGGCATTTGCTATAATGGAGGAAAATCGGAGGCATCGGTAATTCACTCCATAACAATTTCAATGTGTTTTGCGAGATGGTTCTATTCTCTAAAATTATTTTATGCTTTACCACGTGACTAACAATATAATTCGATTTTTCGCTTGTAGCAATAAATTGTATATAATATTCATATTCTTATCACAGAATTAAATTACTCTTGGAATTTTGCTGATTTGAAAATGCAGAAAGTACTCTTCATTACTTACGTGACAATGTAACTCATGTTAATATTCGCATTAGGATTTTTCGGATAAAGTATTCTCTTGATGTGTACGAGCTCGTCGACCAATTCGAACATCCTGTTATCTTTCGGATTCTTTAAAGGCTCACAGACACCACGTTGAGCCATAACGCCGGTTATCATATGAACAACGGTTATGATCATCAGAACGCTCGTTAAAAGAAAGATAATCCAGACGGCCCTGCGATACGAAACGTCAGCGATTATAAAAAGGAAAGGGACAGTAGCGGTCAATTTTATTCTATGTAATTTTGTGATGATTTTTGCAACCTACATCATAAGAAATCGTGCACCTGACCCCTTATTACAGCAATCATCTCCGTATCCATCCGGACGCTTTCCGCAAATACCACAGAGAAGACCACACGTCAAACACATCAAGACAGTCAGAAGAATACCGGATATACCAAGACCAAGATAGTATCTAAAATGAGCCATATATATTTAAGGACTGTGGCAATGCCTGAGTAACGCGTTTGTCTCAATTCGTCACGAACCTATAGGGCGAATACTGATCTATGTTGCTCCGGGCAACTTCTAAGTGTCGTATATAAACTTTATCTATGTCAACATTTAGCCTGTCGATGAGGGCAGTCATATTATTGGCGATACCCGCCAGGAAGTTGCAAGCCCGCCGGATACTCGCGCTGACCACAGGAATCGTCTGATTTACAGCATGCTGTATGTCCTTCTGAATCTTCAAAAACGAATCCCTGCCTTGGCTCACTTCCGACACTATATTACTTTCCATGAGCACGGTGATGTTGTGCAACGCGAACGTAACATCTGGCAGCTGAAAAGTATCACACCATGCGTGCTTTTAATTGGCATTAATAAAATCGCTAATAAGATCCACCACACATAAAACAGATTAAAATCTTTTTGCCGATATTTCGTGCTAAATGCAATCTCCAAAGCTACAAGGCAAGCCGGAAGATATGAAATTCTATCTAAATCTTACAGGATTTAATTTTGCAGGATGCGCGAACGCATATAAATAAAAAAAAATGTTTACACGTTATATATATATTTTAATATCGCTAAACTAGAATAATCTATTATTAAAAAAATATGGCAATAATTCGAGGATATAACTCAGTGTAAAAAAATAAAAATAAAAAAATTACATAAATATATTTTCACACTGTTAACTCTCGGGCATTATTTTTTAACGTCAGATTACTTGTACAATTTTTTCATAACAAAAATGTCATGAAAAATTTTGTTAATCGTATACATTTTTCGATGGTTAGCATTTTTGTAGTTAAGCTTCAAGTTAAAAATATAATAAATCTATTATAATTTCAGTTTAAAATTTAGAACATATAAAAAAGTTCTCTTGCTCACTCATAATTCGTAAATAATGATTTGATGACATTTTTGCTAAGAAAACATTATGTTGATGAAAGAAAATGACTTGTCGTTAAAAGATAACTCATGAGAAGAGAAATATTCTGTATATATCATACAGTCGTTCTAATTATTGTTTTATATAGTATAAAATTATTGAAATAAAAATTTTCACTCTTATGTTCAACAGAGGAATGCAAATAATAAATAATGTGCTAAGAAAAAAGTTTAACATACTTCTAATATATATAAATATTCAATAAATATTTCCATTCGTGCAGATTACTTTGCAAAATCAATCGAATAATGCCAATAAATATATCCATATGTAAAACGATATGACACATGAATAAGGAGATTGCATGCTTTTGCTTACAACTTACAGATGCTAGAAGCTATTTGTGGCAAGCATGGAATCAAATAAATTTATACAGTATCTCTCCCTCGTACACTAATGATCACGCGATGCGTCAATAACTACAATATTCGATATTAATGAACATATCTCGCAATAAATTACAATAAGCGATAATTGCGTTGGTCTACTGATCAAAATACGTTCAACTTCATGAATTCGTTGCACCGACGTATCATGCATTATGTCTCAAGTCTTTCGTGATTTAATTAATCAAAATATTTCATATTTTCAATGTATTGTCAAAGTGTCGAGATGGAGAATCGATTCTTATTAGATCTATTTTGCTTCGGTAAGATTCGTGACATTAGTGACTTTATCTTAAGAAGCCTTATTATGAGCAAACGAAAGCCAAGGCAAGCCTTGTACAAATCTACCGTTTCAATACATTTAAAAATCACTGTTTTTCGATGCACTTAGACCTCGAGATAACGTTTGTCGAAGATAATACGAACACGATGCGAAATTGCTCAGAAAAATCTCGTTTCTTTGATAAACAAATTTTCGTTGTGTATCGAGGCCGAAGGCATCTTTGTTAAATTTCATTACAAGATGATTGCTTTCATAGTAAAGTCATACCTTTGGGAAGTAACGATCCATGTACTGCGTATAAACAAGGAAAATGCTCGTAATTAACCAAGGTAATTAGCTGAAGTAGTACCTCAGATAAAAAACGATTTGCGTCTGCTTACCTTATCGAAGTCCACTTGTACAGACATTTGATTCACTTTGTAATCGTGTAGAACCCGTTGACACTTGTCAGTCGTACACGCGGCTAGCGTGTGGAGAAGATTTTTCTTGACACCACGAACAACTAAAAAATCAAATTCAATTTTTGAGGCTGTTCTTTGATATTGTGATAACATTTATTATAATTAAACGCAATTTATTTATTAAACGCAATTAACCTATGTGTATATGTAATAAAAATAATAAGATAGTTACATAAATATTAAGAAACTTGGCACTTTTAAAAATATAATTATTAAACAATTAATTAGTTACATTATCACATAATTATCATATATGTATGTATTGAATAAAAAAATATAGATATGATAAAATCTAAAGATTATTTTAAAATGTACTTCATTAAAAAATTGAATCAAATCGTTTTAATCAAAATAGTCATTATATTTATATGTTATTATGCGAATATCTTTTTATATTTAACAATTATTTGTATATCAGTTTCTAAAAAATTTATATAAAACATTAATCCATGTTTTTGTATTTAACTTGAATTTAACAGATTATTAAATCCTAAAATTAATATATCATTATATTGAAAGACATTGTCTCATTTTTTTACTGACAGATTTCAAGGATTTATACTCTTTTTAAACGTCAAAAGGTCTCGATTAAATTAGATGGAAAAAATAAGAAGCAAAACATATTTTTTACTTAAATCTTTTTTTGCTTTAAACATTCGTAATTTAAATTTTGCATAATTGCAAGAAGGAAAGGGTACGAAATTAATTAATTTTCCAATTCCGATTAATTCGGAGAATTATAAGCTGCGTACCAATGTCTAATTGACTGGCGTTTATTCGCAAGTCCTGTGTTATTTTATTCATCAATCTCAGATCCTCTCTGATCGACTCCAAGCCAGCGACTATGTCGTTCAGATTTGTCAGGGAGACGGCGTGCGAGTACTCCGCAAGTTGTTCGGTGACAATTTTACCGCTGGCCTGCAGGATATTGTTGAGCGTAACTTCAAGCTCTTCGGGGTTGGTTTTGAGCAAATTATCGATCTCTTGCTTAGTGGTGGTCAAGTAGAGCTTAACGTCCTTTAGACTAGTCTTGGCTTTACACGGAAGCTCTTTGGTTCCCTCCTGCATGTACTCGTTCGTCACGAAGGCACACACCACGCCGAATCTGCTCAAGTTTTTTTAATTATTAATTGTCCGCGCGTCTACGTTTTATTTCGCCAGGTGTAACAACGGCGGGAGGCACGGAAATAGAATTCCATTACCGGACTTTATTATCAGGCTGCCGTTAAACATATTTGACGTCTCAAATATTAATATCGTATTTTACGAAAATGGATTAAACTGCGCTCGGGACTATTAAATTCCGAGGAGAGAGGCAAGTTAATTATCACAGTAAAACCATGTGCGGCGTAATACATTGATATATTCATTAATACTTCAAGAGGGAGGAAGCAAGCACATTTCGAAAATTTCAGTGTTTCGTGGAATCACAATAGCATGTACCGATTGTAAAATATCACAACGGAAATTATTGCAGTATATTGTATATTTATGTTTATTATTCTTCTTATTCGATTTCTGATATCGTCGTATAATTAATGAAGCAATTAAATAAAACTCGATAAATTAATTTCGCCATATTTAACATTTGTCGAGCAAAATGTTTTATCTACCTTTAAGTTTAATTAAAATACAAATGCATTAATGATACAAAAAAAAAATGACATTTAAATATAAAAACAATTTAATTTTAAAGTTAAAGTTTAAGCAAACTCTTAAAGTTTTATTTTATGTCAGACTTAATATATATGAGAGGTATAATTTTTTGGGAGCACATATATTCCACTGGATGTAAAAAGGTTGGGCGCGAGTGTTCTAAATTACATTCTGGCAACTCGGTCTGTCTCCTCCGAAAAATATGAAACTCACAGAATAATAGTGGCGACCCCGATCAGCACGATGCTGAGCATAATCTTTCTGCAGTGATCGTGCTTTTTGTCGAAGGGCTGGCTTCGAGCACCGCAATGCCCCGCGCATCTGCAACAGCAGAAAAAGAGACCCGCGCAGGGAAGGATAGCTGCCAGGATGAGTCCAATCATAGCGAGGCCGGCCAGTCCGCCGTAATGCGTCACTATTATCTTCCATTCCTTCAGAGGGTCCGCCAAAACCGGTGCACCGTCGACCACGGTGATCATACCTGCAAAAGAAACGGAGACATTTCGCATGAGTACCGGCAACCACGGCTGGATACGATCGTTATTACTCGCGGGACTTGGGACTCGGGAAAGAAACTGGTTCTAATCGACTGGGTTACGGGGCTGACTAAATCGTCTTTCACTGTCCACACTTCGCGTCGCAATCTAGAAAAACAGACCGTACTGCTGCAACCGAGTCGAAGAATGCGAGCAACGCCAATTTCTTGGCAACGGCAAAATCCGACTGTGGCAGTCTAAAATTCGAGTCGGCTAATTATTTAGATAACTGTCATGGAAAAATTGCTTGTTAAAAAATATCTGAGAATCCAGAACGTTAAGTCCGCTAAAAGGCTTGATAGAATAGAATCTTGTAATGTAAACGGAACAAGAGCGTTGATAGTGAATGTTTCCGTTGAATTCCTAAGGGATGACGTAGAATCGATTTCTAAAGGAGAAATGCGTAGCGAATCTATGCATTCTCCGTAGGGAACAGCTGATAGCCGCGTCCTTTCACAGCGGGGATGAACGGGAGGGAAGAGAGGGAGAAACCGGGCCAAACGAGGACACGTTGAATGTAGGTCAAAGGTCAGGGTGCCGGAAGGGTTGCTAGGTCGCAACGGAAAACAACGAAGACGGACGGACGGACGGACAGACAGTAAAAATTTATCTGCTGAGTAATGTAACCCAAGGAAGTGGGTCAGAGCTCCGGTCGGCTGGTCATCGGTCGGTCGGTCGGTCGGTCGGTCGGTCGGTGGCTGTTTTAGATTGTCAGCCGTAGCTGAATCGATCTACATCCAGCGATCTCCTATGCTCTTTTCTACACTCTCGCGGACGCACGCGCGATGTAATCGCGGTCGCGGGTCGCAACGGGATCGGAGTGAAACAGACGACTGTCATGGGCAACCTACCCTCTGGTCCCTCCTTCCAGGATGGGAGATCTCATATCCTAAAGCCGTTCTCAGGCAGCCGGGCGAGAAGGGTGATGCGCAACGAAACGGTCGGGTTAATCCTCGTGACACGCTCGTCGATCCGAGGAGGAAATAGCACGCTTGATTTTATATAACGAGATCACGTGCATCTGTACCGCTCACTCTAGAAATCGCGTTTGTCGCGAATCACCGGTTGCGCGTCCAGTGACGCGTGAAAGGATTTCTCGCTCTTTGTTCTTATTAGACTCCTCCTCGAGAGGATGCCGGTGCTCCGCCGTGACGGCAGTGCCGTCATAAATTTCTAGGCGAAACTGTCTAGTGCAGCAGAGTTAAATGAGATTTTATTCCTTCCATAAAGTTGGTGACACATTCTTAGAATTTCAATGTAATTGGTAGAACTTTCCTCCTTCCAAGAAGTTTGTGATGTGTTTCAAATGTGAGCGTTGGCGATTAGAATTTTGTGTTTTAAAATTTCCATTTTATAAAAAAAATGAGACTTTTAAAACGCAAACTGTCACGATATACGATTACGTTATATAAAAATTAATATTAGCAAATGAATTGAATTTATTTTTGATCATTAATTGTGTGAAAAAAACTGAAGATCAAAAGCTGATTAAACCCATATTAAAAAATATTGGAATGTAAATAAAAAATATAACACAAGGGTCTGATACATTCTTGCCTGAGCTGATGGTATTGACCTAGATCTAATTTGCTATAGTTTTCTATAAATAAACCAGTTATTATCCAGAAATTAGTAATTTCTTTATATAATTTTTTATATAATTATACAGAGATGAATATTTATGACACAGCACAAAATATCTCGGAGATAAGAAAACGAAATTAATTCTATCCAAATTTTGAAATTATTTAAACGAAATGAAGTGTAATAATTAATATTGAACACATTGGTATGGTTGATTGAGCAGAACAATTAAAATTCGGATTCTGCCGAATATTCGCCTAATTGGAATTGCACATCTCCACGCTCATCTCCATGATTCTCTCGAAAGCGCAGCTCGTTTGCAGACTGTCGAATCAAAGCGGAGGCCACTGTCAATCAGGTTTCATGAATCGCGGACACGGGGAGAGTTTCGAGGACGAAGCTAGTTAGCAATAGGCGGTAATAGCGACAGAAAGAACGGGTGGTGATTCGACATTGTACTCGTTAGGGAGCACCAGAGTATACAGTGTTCGGTGAAAATTTCAATGAAGGCCGTTATTTGACATCAACCGTTGAAAGTATTCCATATTTTGACTATCCCAAAAATTAAGTTTCTACATTCCACTTTCAATAATGTTTGACATGAGATCGATAGGGCGGAAATTTTGTTGCTGTAGTTTGAAGCTTGTAGACCACTGGGTATAGCTATAAATAAAGCGAGCGTGTCAGGCTTCGCCGTGATAAGCAGGGCAATGCAGGGATGTGTTTTATAGGAGACGGTAAAATCTATAATCTGGTTCTGACGCGGAAAAGGACGCTGGTGACGTCGCCGGCGTGCAATGACCGTCTGAAAAAAACGTCTCTTCATTCAGGTCATTACAGTTGGGCAAATGAAGGCACGACAATCCTCTTATTAGCGATCTCTATTCTGATTCCTGCAAATGTAACACTGGATTCGTTGAGAAAATATCCCTCTCGCATTCATCCCTTTTTTTGCATTGCTCAAACAAATGATATTTAAAGGATAAAACGCTGTAAAAATATATTTTCAACATTCGCGAGACGTAGCATTGTGACTCGTTACATAAAAGCGCATATAGATATATGCGTTGCGGAATCGTGTTACACAACCAATCTTTCCCGGGACTGCATATTAATTTTCGACGGTCGATGCACAGACAGAAATATGCCGGAAACGTGTTACGCCCGACAAGGCGCACACTTCGCCGAATTTCGCGAAACTAGGACGCTGCGACTCGGCATGAGAAACGATCACTCGGAGAATTTGTCCTCGTTTGTTAAGAACGACTTGGTTCTTGGTCCGTCTTGTTCCCGCTTTCAGGACAATAAATCCCCCCCGTTTAGGTTTACGACTAAGTCCTAATGGTTTACACAACGGTCTATTTGCAGACCACTCTAGACCGATTTCTAATGGGAGATCAAGCGTAAAAAACGCCATATTCTGGCGTGTTTGACTTGTCAAAAGCGACAACCTTATTAATGTTATCCTTCTAATAATCAATAGAAAAAGAGATCAAAGCACCCATGTAGCATCTGCATATGGTAACGATGCAAGGTGAATATTCCATCGACAAGCGAGCAAGCCGGTGTAATCGTACACCTCACGACAGACTCACTGTCGTGCAGGTAAGGGTTTCGATCGATTTCCCGCAGTCATTGACCTCCATGGTTACGTTAATACCGCTGCCGCCGCCGCCGTCGCCGCGTGAGTTTAGTCCCGGCCTTTTAACGATTCCCACGTTACCATGTGGCGTGATTCCGATTGAATCCGCGAATCCTTTTCCGGCACCAGAAACAAAGTTCTTCGACGATCCTCTCTACTTGCACATTTCTTTCTCTTTTTGGAACAATCGAGTCTTAATTACAGGCAACGCGTAATTCTTTTATTGTAATTTTATTAGATCTATGGATGTCGTCAACAATAACACTAGTTTACGGTAAAAAAATTAAAATGATTCTAAACCAAACAAGATTTTTTTTTAATAGATTTTTGAATGTTGAAAACAATGCCGCGAGTTAAAGTTTTCCAGCACGTCAGGTTTCTAAAATAATTGAAATTTAATATGCAAAAATCTTTTTTTTTATGATATTTTTTATAAAAGATTTTTTGTGAAAAAAATTAACAATACCTCAAAATCAGGAATCATAAATGTGCTGGTCAGGCTCTATAAAATACATTTTTTTCTTTAATATTTTATTTTTTTAGCTATATTATGAAGAATTTTAATACAAACTTTTTTGCTAAAACAGCACAGACTTTTGTTATCTTAGTAAAATTTTATTAAATTGTGTTAAAATTTTTCACAGTAAAATCTTCATAATAATCTGATCTAAAAAATGAGATTATAAATAAATAAAGTGCACTTTATAGGAGATAAACAATTCATAACTTCTGATCAGAATTTCAAGGTATTTTTTCATTAAGCTTCTTTATAAAAAATTTTCAAATATCACAAAAAATTATTTTTTGCATATTAAATCTCAATTATTTTGGAAACTCGACGTGTTGGAAAAATTTGGCTCGCGGCATCGTTTTCAACATTCAAAAATCTATAAAAAGTACTTCGTCTGCTTCAAACTAATTAAAAAAAAATTTTTTGTAAACTAATGCAATTTTTAATCCAGTTAAAAGCAGAGTGATGAAATTGAACGACATTACAATTTCGCGCACAACTTATTTAACGGAAGATGTTGCGAAATAATCGAAGCTTGATTTAAAATGCTCTTCTCTGATCTACTATCGAGACTTACCAGCCGATAATTTCAACGGAGGCTTCCGCCATTATCCTAATGAAGAAATCCATTACCTGTCATGGTACGGCAAATATTGGTATATCGAATATTCTGATTGAATGTCTCGATCGAAGCTACTTCTTTCGTGGCGTGGAAGATGAGCCGATAATGCCTATACTTCATGAAGTTACATCAAGTTTTGAGAGACGCGGCCTTTACGTATAGAATAATAATAATAATAATCGACCCCTTGAAATCGGAATTGTAATCTAATTAATCGCGACAATTCTCATTTCATCGGCGACGTTAATCGGAAATGGTGGGAAAACGTTTGCACGATGCAATTAAATGGCGATTAGCCATATCACGCTATTAACTTCTATTTGCACGGGTTTCCCGTAATGAGGTCGCTCGGGGCTTTTTGCAAAGTCGATACCTGCAACAGCCGAGACTGATCTATCGGGGCAATTAAGCGAATAAGAGAACGCTGCGGCAATCTACCTACGCCGTTGATTGGCTTCGCACTAATGCGGATGTTCGGTGCGACATTGCGACATTAATCAGAATCCCAGAAGATGATCGCGTCTGGAAACAGAGGTTGCCTCGCGGGAGTATCTCAGTATCCGTAAACGCCTTCACGATGATTTAC